AAATGTAGTTTCAAGGTACAATTTGAAGTCATTCTAGAAAGAAAAGAAGGTTAATTTAGGTTTATTTCGATTTCTTTTGGTGGTTACGAGGTCTCTGATTCTGCCTATTAGTACTTGTATTTCTTCTCTAATTCTAGCACTACCCCCCACCAAACATTGTCATCACTGGATTTGAGTGAATTGGGTGTATGGCCAACTTGATAATAGAAATGGTGGTCAGTTCTCACAACTTGACCATGAGTATTCATCAAATTTCACCAATGTAATTACAAATAATACATAATGTTTTTATATGACACTATGCCTCATATATCTATTCCTTGCTATACTTCTTGTGATTTTTATATTCATTATCTGGTTTGTACATAAACCAGCTTATGTTTAAGTTTTGGCAGATTGTTTTTTTTTAATCTGATGTTTTACAATTGCTAGAAGCTGTTCTTAAGTCATTGTACTGAAAAAAAAAGTATTACTTTTCCTTTTTATTGTAGCTTTTTGAAAAATGTCTCATAAAAAGTGATAGGGTATGTTTCAGCATAAAGAACTAATAGATTTACAGTACAAGTCTGGCAACCTTGGATATGGAAGTGACTGCTTTATGTGACCTAAAGCAAATAATCATATATGCAAACAGTAGGTCATCAGAAGACTTTCTGTATATACATGTTTGAAGTCTACTTTTTATTTCAATAAAAGCATGCATGGAGCCAAAAAGCAGTCATTTAATCAAGACAGCTGTGAAACGATTTGAGTACCTCATTCTTGATGAGCTTACGAATATAAGGTTTCCACCAGTGTTCTTTTATCCCTTTTGCTTCTACCACAATACCCTGGTGCTTCGTACACAGAAACTGAATGGTACATGGAGGATCCACAGGTGGCTTATAATCCTTGTTTTGAAAGTTTTCAGGTAAGCCTGTGTACCAATAAAAATAACTGTATGTAGTATATGCATCCCATGTCTACTGTACATCACTATTAAAGAATAACTTATATACAAGTCAAATGAGGAAAACACAAAAAAACTGACTAGTTTCTACACTACAAAAAGATCTACCCCAACTCACACCATAAAAAAATGGACAATATGATGGATTAACTCTCAGTTGGTACATTTTGTTAGTTAATCCCAATTGTAAAAGTCATATTTCCTACCAAATATGCTAGAATCTTTTAATGAAATTTCATGCAAATTGTTTTTACAACATTCAAGGTTGTTAAGATAAGTTATTCTGCTTTAATACTACAGAACTTGATACTTTACCAGCAAATTTGTCATTCAGGAGGTCTCTCCGGTCAGCAAGAAGTGCATTACCATAGAACAAGTCTATACAACACAGCAACAAATGATAGGAATTTACAAGGTCATCACTAATTGAAGGAAAATTACCTGAAATATAAATTATCTTTAGAAATCAACAGTTGCTACCAAGTTAAAAAAAATCAAACATTTTACTCCTATGAATACATCTCTTATAGGTAAGCAATCACTCTTATCTACAGTTGTAATATACATCAGCTCTACTTAGTATACAAACATCATCACTAGAAACCTTACAATTATGTTAGATATACACAACTGTATCAATTTAAGTATAATGTGAGTGTTATGATTTAGATAATTTATATAGAGCAAGTGTTAAATTTAGTTACCTTCAGAAGCAATAGTTTATCACAGGTTTGTTTACATAACTGTTTTTGAATCATACGTTGTGTGGTTCAACAGTTATGAATTAGTGATTGTTATACTATTGTATCATGTTACTAGAACCTTCTAAGTTTTCTCATTTTTTTTAATTGAGTATTATTGCATCATAATATCTAGTAGTGTGTGTGGAATGTTCTAGACCTCTGCCATGATATAAATACATGTCAAAAATATAGATTGTTAGGTCTAGACTGTATGACTGAGTTTAGCCATAAAGGGTGTATAGTGAGATTTTTTAAAGTGAAATTATCACAGACTATATTATAATAACAGAGTAGGGAAGAATATGTTGTCTTGTTAATAATATTCTGAAGTAATTGAACCAGTCTGTGTAGATTTTGACAAAAAATGTAAAAAAAAAGAATTATTTAAAGTTTTGAATACAATTACAGTAACCAACAGTTATAGTAGTGATTTTAAACTAAAATTATCACAGACTGTATTGTAATAACAGAGCAGGAAAAATAATTCATCTTGTCAAATTAAGTTCTAAAATAACTGAACCAACCTGTGTGGACTTTGATGAAAATGAGAATTATTTAAAGCTTTGGATACAACTGTGATAGCCAACAGTATAATGAATATTTGTATGTACGTTTGACTTCTTTTAATATATTACTTTAAAACAAGACGACCGTGTGCTGTTTGTTTATTGTTGAAATTTATCACCAATAAGTCGCAGACACTTATTGCAAAGAATCCAGCCCACAAACAAGACCTGACAAATTAGGTACAGAGAACACATGTCCTACAATACTGAAATAAGTGCTTGGTCTTCTCTATGTGCATTCTTTTATATGACATTTTAAACACCCAGTGGTAGAATATATTCCTTACCACATTCAGGACCTGTAAATTTATAAGTCTACCTTTAAAATTATAAAACATTAATTCTAAGGGTTGACTTAAAAAGGCACCTAATTGGATTTGAGGAAATATCATAAAAATGATTTTTTTGTAATTTTCTTTCACTGGTACTTTTGATCACAAACTGCAGAACTAACATTAGATATATTTTTGAGACATCAAAAATTTGGTATTGTAGGGTATATCCTTAAACTAACATGATTTAACTCACCACATGACCTCTTTATATATTTAATATTTCTTACTTGAAAACTTACATGCAAATTCATATTGAGTTAAACTGTTAGTGGTTCATGCAATCCTAAATATAAGCTACGAAGCTAATAAACTTAAAGATAAAGATAGATGTACATATAAACAATAATCTAAATTGACGGAAGAATGAACATATTGAGTTCAATCAATCAAGCAAGTTTTAACCTGCCCCGAAGTCTTCTGTTAGAATAACTATTGTACATTTTCCTATTCATTATTGAATTTTAAAATGTTTCTCTATATAATGACAGGCATAGAACAAAATTGATAAACCACTTAAAATTAATAAGTTAAACAGTTATTCATCACAGAAATACCAAATAATACACCACAGCACATGCTATTATTTCTATTTTATATAATAACATGTATATATACATATGTAAGAATATATAAATATACTTTGAAAGTATTTCGATTCTACATGAGAGCTGACCTTATCCTAGCAGAACAGGAAGTGAAACATCATGCCTAATTCATTAGAACATTTTGGGAAAATGAAGCACAGTGTAATGATCATAAACTCATTCAGTTTCCTCTTTCTTTTGCCATCTTATTAGTTAGACTGTATCTTCGAGTTAAGGTAGACAGTGTTTCTGTCTTGGTACCGAAGTATTAAGAGTAATGTGATAAAACAACAAAAATAAAACTGAAGTATAAAAGGTGAACACTGTAGCAAAATGAAAAATATTGGAATGGCCACTAACTCATTCAGTTCCCTCTGGTTTTTCTTTCTTTACTAGTTCATTGGTTTAGTGATTGTTATTATGGTTACCATTGTGCTTACAAGCAGTAACAATGTGGTATTAAAAGTACAACTGGGACACTAACATTACTACTGATGTATTTAACCAAACTTTAAAGCGAAGTGCACAAGAAAGTAATAACTGTACACATGCACAATAAAAAAAATAATGCAATAGTTCATCACTCATTTTATCTTATGTAACAAAATAGATTGAAACAATTTTGAAAAACATTGTTTTTAGGATTGGATTCAACGTCAGCTACTGAAAAAACAACAACTATATACTGAATTTTGTTACCTTGCAATGAGTTTATGATATTAAAAATTATCTATTTTACTGGTACTATTATAATATAGAAACAAAGAAATAATTTTCAGTTAGTGATTTTTGGTGATTTAGGTTTCAGAAATTAGTGAATTGTTAACAAATAGATATAACTAGGCATATTCCTAAAATATATGGAAATCATAGGTACAAAAGAAAACTCATACACTGACTAGCAGCAGGTTGTGACTGATGATTCTATTCCATATAAAGTTGAATTACTATATATTAATTGATTACTACTAGCATATAGTTGAACTTAAAATTAAATATTTAACACAAGTAAACCTAGCAATATCTAATAACAATGTCAAACTTATGATCTTTCCTGGCTTTTAAAGTTTGTAATAATTAATAGTAAATGCATTATTTTTTTTACAGTAAATGCTATGGTCTACTTTTACCTTTGACGTGAACAAAGAGCGTCCAACAGAAAGAGAAGACATCCGAAATACTGCATGGTGGCTTCCTAGTGGACAAACATTTCACAAAAAGACAAAAACGTATGTTAGATCTATGCAATACTGCCAAGCAATTAGAAAAATTGTTGCCTATTTTACCATTGGAGTACACTGTATAATAACTTGCATATAATAAAAATGAAGAAATGCAATGAACATTAAATACTACACACAAACAGTTACTAAGTAACTCACAATTTACCTTTGTTTTCTACTTCTAACTGGTCGCTGGGGGTCTTGGGATGGATCTTTAAAAATATCCAGAAAAATTGGTTCATATTTTTTAAAAATTACGGTAGAAACGTTGAAATTCCTTTCAAGATGATCAACCTTGTTTCTTGTATCTTGAGGTAAATTTGCCATGTCTGCCCATTTCTTCATTTTATTAAAAAACTGCACTAAACTAAAATATGACAAAAAGATAAAAAAACAACAACAAAAAATGACACTGAGTTACCTCAAAAAAGGTAAATCACCTTTCAGCTCTATAATTCAATCTCACAAAGATCAATTTATTACACAACTTCATAACATATTCTAGTTTCAATTCAAAGAATATCTTATTTCTTACTATTAAAGAAAGAAAAATCTGGACTTAATTTTTAAAAGTTGTTTATATTTTCTCTCATATTCAGATCCTAAAACTATTTAATACAGGAAACAAAAAAATTGCTTACAAATAACCCTGCTAAAGTTCTAACGCATGAGACCTTTGTTGTCATTTCAGCATGAATAAAGATTTTGTAAATCAGTCAACTCAATTCAAGAGTAACATCTAATTTACTTTTCTGAACAGGCTGTTTTAGTCAAGTGCAAAAGTTCGTGTAAACATTCATGTGAAACAAACCCAAATTATACTGGTAACAACAATTAAAAGCATTACTTTTAAACATAAATCTACACACACATACAAAATTTGTAGTTTCAGTGATGCAGCTTTTTTTAATGAGTAGTCTTTTTCAGTAATCATTGTTGAACTAAATTTAAAAACTAAATTGAAGCTAAAAAGCTATAGTGAATATTAAGTATCTAGATGCTTAGATATCTATATAACCTCATGCTTAGATATCTATATAACCACATGCTTAGATATCTATATAACCTCATGCTTAGATATCTATATAACCACATGCTTAGATATCTATATAACCACATGCTTAGATATCTATATAACCA